CTTTCTTTAAAAAAATATCCATTTTGGACTGGACAATTTGTTTTTTCTTCTCGTTATAAATTTCCTTATAGCAAGCCAGGGCATCCTGAATTAAACGATCCACTTTTGAGAATCTCGCAACATTAGGGTCAATTTTTTCAAACATTTGCATTCCTTCATTTATTTTGCTGAAAGCTGCAGCCATTTCTTTCATCACAAAGTTTTTGGGGGCTGCTTCTTCTTCTTGGGCTGTTTGTCTCTCTTCGTCTGCTACCCTCTCCGCCTCAAGCTGCATTAAATCTTCATTGCACAGCTCCTCCCCAACATCCTCAACCAGTTGGTGTATATCTTCATTATCCATTTCCAGATCCACTTCTTTCACCAGCTGTACAATGTCTTCCAGTTCCTTTTCTTTTTCAAACCCTTTGAAACAGTTCACAAATCTTTTTAGGATTTTCTTCCATATGCCATTCATACATTGTGGAGTAACTTCTTCCCACCCTGCAGCAATGTTCCTTATGCAATGCAGAATGTAGCAGTCCTTCCAAAATTCACGTAATGTTTTGCCGTTTTCGCATTCTGTGGCAGCTACTGCCTTTGCAAATGTGTTGCAAAGATACAGTAGACTTCCAATAATCCGGAACCTATGGGACCTAGGTGGTGGCGGATTATTAAATATGCTGGACTATCAGGAGGTACTATAAGCTGGTTATATATATACTGTATACATTATATACTGTATATAAAGTGGTCTTAACCCTTTTTTATTGTACATACTGTATACAGTATACTGTAATATTTTAGTTTTTTAAGCCTTTTTTCCCTTTTTGCTCAGTTCAGCTGCTGCCGCTGTCACCTTGTGACTCATTTTTTGCCGAAGCTCACTCACTAGGCTCTTGCCATTTTGATGCCGGACTATCAGGAGTGCCCGACTATTGGATGCCGGCCTATTGGAGTTTTACTATAATATGCTTTGAAAGCAGCTATGGCCCCCTGGTCCATGGGTTGGAGCACAGATGTGGTGTTGAGTGGCAGAAACACCACTTTTACATCGGAATGTAAGTCATTTAGGTATTGAGGGTGACCTGGAGCATTATCCAAAATAAGCAAAATTTGGAAAGGAATTCCTTTCTCCAGAAAATATGACTTGACTTCAGTGATGATGCAGTTCATGAACCAATCTTCAAAAAGTGCAAGCATTATCCAGGCTTTCTTATTAGCACGATAATGGACTCATAAAGTAGCCTTGCTGATATTCTTGAAGGCATTAGGGTTTTCAGAGTGATAAACCAAGAGGGGTTTCAATTTATACCCAGAAACATTGCCTCCTAACAAGACTGTTAGACGATCTTTGAAAGCCTTATAACCAGGCATAGTTTTTGCTTCTTTATGTATGTAGGTACGTTTGGGCATTTTCTTCCAAAAGAGACCTGTCTCATCAACATTAAAGATCTGTTCTGAAAAATAATTTCCTTCTTTTATCAGCTTATCCAATTCTTCTATGAAAGGTTCTGCTGCTTTTGAATCAGCACTGGCTGCCTCCCCATTTAATTTCACATTATGAAGGTTTGCATGCATCTTGAAACGGTTGAACCAACCGTGACTGGCAGTGAAAGTTTGGTCATAGTCATACCCCTCCTTTTTCTTTAAGTCTTCAAAAAGACTACAAGCCTTAGCTTGTGTCGTCATGAGACTTAATGGCGTGTGTTTTTCAATTTGGTCTTTCATCCAAAGCACTAAGCGTTTTTCCATTTCCAGGATGGGACCTGCTCTTTGCTTTGTTAGAATTTTTGATTTCATAGGAGCAGACCCTTTCACTGCTTCACGAATGCGATCACTATCCTTTATAATGGTGCTGATAGTGGATTTTGATAGCCCTAGCTTACGCGACATGAAGGACACTGTTTGACCCCATTCATATTGTCTCACTATCGCTATTTTCTGTTCCAAATCAATAGTTTTTCTCTTTCTTTTCTCACCACCCTTACCACCCCCCTTATCATTAGCCCTTTTTCTTTTACTTGACATGATGGCCACAAGCAAACACTGAAAACACTGTAAGAGAATGAAACGTAAACATGCTGCCTGACCGCAGACACGCAAACACAACGTGCTGCTGCAAGGTTGGTCGTAAGTGTGGATGGTCGTAAGTCACGGTGGTCATACGTCGGGGAATAGCTGTACTAGCAACTGTATAAATATACAGGTAGGAGATATGAAGAGGATTGCTATAAAGTGATATCTGAACAGATATCTGAACATCATCATTTACTACCCAGGGAACTTATAGAAACCCAAACATAAAGACAGAGGGGTAATTTCTTGGCATTTTTCATAATATACAAGGCTTCACACTCCAGCAGAGTATGTTCCAACTGGAGAAGGGGCTTATAAGGGTGCAACCCAGTACAGACAAGGAAGCCTGTAGAAGACAGACTTACCCTTAAAACTTCTGACAAAGGTGCTGGAGAAGCCCTTCTGAGGGAAGTGGGGCTATATCCTCAGCCAAATTAGGGCTGAAGGGTTGGTTACCATCCTTTTTCTTTATATTTTGCCTGGGACTGAACACTAGAAGAGAAAAGCATTTGCAGGAAGTGACCATGGAACCTAACACTTTGGAGGCTCCAGATATTGTTGACCGTCTCAAGTTCCTGGGTTGGAGCCTGATGGAATTGGTAGGTCTGGGCTCCTCTACCACAGCTTATTGCAGGCGGGACTCAAACCACCTCACCCCATCTGTGTGTAGAGGAGGACCAGGACTGTTTAGAGTGGTCTGCTAAGGTGTGGGGAGCACTAGGTGCACTAACCACTCACAACCTAACCCACAAATTACTATTACATTTCTGGTTCTGTTTTGGAAGGTCTGGGGAAAAGGAATGAAAGCCCAGGTGCTTTGACTTTTTTCTCAGCTTTGGAGAAAATACCCTAAAAACTTGGCTCTTAAATTATGAGAGATCTCAGGGGTACTCTACCATCCTCCCACCCAAACTGATAGCAACATGGCTCTGCACTGCCATTTGGAAGTAGGAGAGCACCAGAACTAACAACTATAGAATCAAGAGATCATAGGGTGTCAGAGAACTATGTGATAAGCAAATAGTAAAACACAGTAATTTGCACTGAGTAACTCAAGAAACAAAGTGAGGCTATCAATGTAAGGATCTGAGGCTACGTCTAGACTGCAGGCTTCTTTTGAAAGAAGCTTTTTTTCGGAAGAGATCTTCTGAAAAAACTTGAGAAAGAGAGTGTCCACACTGCAAAAGTGCATCAAAAAAGTAATCTGCTTTTTCAAAAGACAGTGTCCAGACTGAATGGATGCTCTCATATGTAAGCTGTGATTGCTATGGACAGAATGGCTACCAGAACACCTCTTTCGCAAAAAGGCTTCTTCCTCGTAGAATGGGGATTGCCAATACCGTAAAAATGCCTCTGTTCTTTTGATTTTCTTGCAGAAGAAAGCAATTGCAGTGTGGATGTTCCTCAAGTTTTGTCAGAAAAATGGCTGGTTTTTGGACAAAACTCTGTAGCATAGACATATCCTGAGTTTGAGCTGTTCTTTTCAAAGCCTTTTGTGAGACCTTACCTCTAGAATAAATGGAGAAGATAAAATCTATGAAACACACATCTATCTTTACCCCTTCCCTCACTTAGATGGGCTCTCAATTCACTATCTGTGGGCCAGGACAAGGGGAAAGTGAGTTAATAGTTTCTGGGCTTGATTCTCCACTGCTTTTTTACTTAGTGTTGTCAATGACACTTGTGCAGAGAGAATAAAATGCTGTCACTTTAATTATCTATCTTTTTATTACCAGTTTAGAAACAGTCTACACAAGTGTCAGTGGCAACACAAGATAAAAGGCAGAAGAGAAACAAGCCCTGTTTTTAACTCTATCAATTCTTGGGCATTTTATGTAGGCTCTAGTTAAGTAAGCTAATAAATTATACCTTATCTTTTGGGTAATAATCAAATTATCCTGACAGCGCAAAAACTTATACTAAATGAAAGGGAAAAGGAATATCCTCTTTTTTGCACATATACCACATTTTCCTGGAAAAATGCAAGCAGGGATTGTTCCATGAAAATAAAAAAAATCATTATTTTCTAGCTTTTCCTTTGGGTACAAAACCACAATGCCATGAGTGAGTGTAAAAAAATGTCATATAAGATACATCCTGTACGCATATCAATAATGTGACTCAGTCTTAAAGTATAGTTTGTCTCCCAAGGAGAGTATCTTTATGAAGTGAAAATGATTAATCCCTGGATTGGAAGAAACGGCACCTTGTTTAATTCATATCTACATTTTTTTAAGCTGAAAATAAAACAGATCTGTTTTAAATGCTCCCCTCAACCCCACCCAAATATTTCTGTAATATACGATCAGAGCTGAAATAGAAGTGACATGTGGCTGTGTCTACACTGGCATGAATTTCCGGAACTGCTTAAAACGGAATACTATTCCGTTTTCAGTTTTTCCGGAAAAGGAGCGTCTACATTGGCAGGCTGCTTTTCTGGAAAAGTGTCTGTGGACAATGTAGATGCACTTTCCCAGAAAAGAGCCCCGATCGCCATTTTCGCGATCGGGGCTTTTTTCCGGAAAAGACTACTGGGCTGTCTACACTGGCCCTTTTCCGGAACAGTGTTCCGGGATAAGGACTTATGCCCGAGCGGGAGCAGAGTAGTTTTTCCGGAATAGCGGCTGATTTTGTACAGTAGAGCATCGTTGCTTTTCCGGAAATTCAAGGGCCAGTGTAGACAGCTCGCAGCTTATTCCGGAAAAGCGGCTGATTTTCCGGAATAAGTGGCCCCGTGTAGACACAGCCACAGAGTAACCAGTCTGAGAGACACTGAAAATGTTCAGTCACTGAAGCTGGACTGAAGTCTGATAATTCCTGCATTATCTGAAGTTAAAAGGGAAAAATAATTATGTTCATACCTTTCCAAGTCAAATACTGCACAGGATATTAATACCAGGTTATGAAATATTAACAGCAAATTAATATTGAAGTTGGGAACTTACTCAACATAATAAGTGCCATAAATGGGATCATCAATCTTCTCCCAGCCATATGGAAGCTCTGAAAAACAAAGAGTTATCACTCTCAGTAAATACAGTACAGAATGCCAAGATTTCTAATAATGAAAGAATAGATTTTTATTGGGTGGTGAGTGGATAACAAAGTTGGATATAGTGCTCAAAGCCAATGCCAAGTTTTAAACATATGCAATGGCAGCAGCAAGTATAGTAATGACCTGAAAATTGGTATACCAAGCCAGAATTCAGTCTCTTGAACAATACATTTTAGTTGAGCTACTTTTTTGATTCTGCAGACAGCTATGCTATGTATCACATATGATCTCATTGCCCTGTGATATGTTGGCATTCTTCTTCCAAAGGTATCTACAGCATATGATTGTATTTATTTACAGGGAAGCTGCCCTACATTCTAGGCCCCCCTTGTCCTTCTGTTGTGCCAAGGGTGCCCGGTCTATCCATCACCAAGCTGGTGGTACCAGTGCCGGACCCCTGGGGGGAGGGGTCTCAAGCCCTCCACTTCTGGCTCCAGAAGTAGGTACTTTATCCACTGTGCCACTGAAGGACTCCCCCACTGTCCCTATAGTCTGGGTGCCCCCTTATCTTTACTTTGCCCCAAGGGTTCCAGGTCTGTCCATTACCAAGCTGGTGGTGGCTGTCCCCGGGGAAGGGGGGTGGGTAGAATCATATTGAATACTCCCAACACTGTCCATATTACTAAGCAGAACTTTAGATTATTACAAATATAATTACTTAGCAACCTTTATTTTAAATAATTTACATTGATTAATTTTTGCCTTTTACTCAGCATGGACTGTCATAACATCACTATTATAATTAAACTAAGCACTTGCAGTACAGGCAGTCCCCGGGTTACATGGATCCGACTTACATCGGATCCCTACTTACAAACGGGGTGAGGCAACCCCGCACTAGCTGCTTCCCCCCAGCAGACCAGGGAGCCGCGGAGCGGCTTCTCTCAGCAGACACCTCAGCTTGAGAATAAAGGACTGAGGGAAGTGAGGTGTGGGAGAATAAAAGTGAGCTCTGGAGAAATGTTTGGCTAGAGTTTCCCCTACAATATGTACCAGTTCCGACTTACATACAAATTCAACTTCAGAACAAACCTACAGTCCCTATCTTGTATGTACCCCGGGGACTGCCTGTATATAGCCATTGTCATCAAAACACTTTACAAGCATTAACTAATCCTCACAGCTCTCCTCTGAGAAACAAATAAGTGTTGCTACCCCCATCTTACAGATAGGACAACTGGAGTGTAGACAGTTCACACTGCAGGGCTTACCTCAAAATAAACTACACAAATTGAGCTACATCAATTACATATCTTAATTTGAAATAGGGAGCACCTACACAGCACTTATTTCAAAATAGAGCACTCTTCCTCTGACTTCCCTTATTCCTCACACAATGAAGGTTACAGGAGTTGGAGTAAGAAGTCCTCCAGCTTGGCAGTATTTTGACACTATTTCAAAATAACTGCCTGCTGTGTAGATGTGGACTAAGTTATTTCGGAATAGAGCTACTTATTTCAAAATAGTGTTGCAGTGTTGACTTACTGTAAGTGACTTGCTAAAAATCAACAAATGGAGTTGGTACTGGAGCTGTTTTTTTAATGTGGAAACTATTTACAGAATTCAATTGAAATCCACTGTAAGAATAGCAATAGAGATGAGGGACTCTCTGAGAGACAAATAAGTGTTGGTACCCCCATCTTACAGATAGGACAACTGGAGTGTAGAGATGTCTGTACTGCAGGGCTTAACTCAAAATAAACTACACAAATTGAGCTATGTCAATTACATATTTTACTTTGAAATAAGGACCACATGAACTAACACATGTTCTTTTTCATCATCTGAGTCAGATGCCACCACCAGAAGGTTGATTTTTTTTTTGGTGGTTCATGTTCTGTAGTTTCTGCATCAGACTGTTGCTCTTTTGAAACTTCTGAAAGAATACCACAGAAGTCCTCCCTCTAAGATTTTGAAAGGCACTTCAGAGTCTCAAATCTTGGGTTGAATGCTGTAGCTATCCTGAGAAATCTCACATTGGTACTTTCTTTGCAGTTTGTTAAATCTGCAGTGAAAGCATTCTTAAAAATGATAATGTGCTGGATCATCAATCAAGACTTTTATCATATGACATATAGGGCAGGACACATACAATTATAGCCCAAGGAGTTCAGTCACAAATTTAATTAACACATTGTTTAATAAAAATCACTAGCATTGAATTAAGTTCTCTGGAATAGTGGACAAAGCATGAAGGAGCAGATATATCTTTAGCATATCTAGCATGATATATCTTTAGTATATCTTGCAATGTCAGCCACAAAAGTGCAGTGTGGAAACCTGTTCTCACTTTCAGGTGACAGTGTAAATAAGAAACAAGCAGCATTATCTCACATATAAACAAACTTATTTTTCTAAGCAGTTGCCTGCACAAGAAATAGGACTGAGTGGACTTGTAGGCTCAAAAAAGTTTCACATTGTTTTCTTTTTGAGTGGAGTTATGTAACAACAAAAAATCTACACTTGTAAGTTGCACCTTCACAATAAAGAGATTTCACTATAGTTATTATATGCTGTGATATAAAAAACTAGTTATTTTATCATTTTTACAGTGCAAATATTTGTAATAAAAATATAAAGTGAGTATTAAACACTTTATATTGTATTTTAATTGAAATCAGCATATTTTAAAATATAGAAAAACATCCAAATATTTAGTTTTAATTGATATTCTTTTTAACAATTGATATTCAATTGATATTCTTTTTTAATCACAATTAATTTTTTCTTATATAACCATGTAAGTTGACTGTGATTAATCAACAGCCCTGCTATAAACCTAGGTTAGATAGAACAATCATAGTTCATCCGCACTGTAAATTATTGGCCTAGCACGAATCCACCTGCATGGCTTGAACTGAGTCCTTCCTTTCATAGCTATTCTGTGAAGAGGTTCCCGTTGATGTGGTGTAAAAGGTTGACAGGAAAGAAAGATTTAACTGACAAAGTGAGTCTGAAAGAGCTGCAGACAGGAACAGCTTTTAAAAATATTCTCTGCTGGATACCTCTCAAAGATACACATCTGAAATAGTAAACATTGGTTCTGCTCTGACTGAACCTGTTTAGACTGCTGTGGCATCTTAATGAACAGGCAGAATTTCTGGCAGCAGCACTCCAAGGGCAGGTCTTTCTGTCACACTGGCCTGCGCTGGAGTTCCTGCTTTGACTGTCCCTGAAGATATAAAGAATGAACAATTCTCCTATGAAGATTGGCAGATGGTATTTAACTCAAAATTGAACTCCATAGATGAGTAATTTAAAGCTCAAAAGCCTGTACCTTAGTCTTTTCTTAGTCTAAGTTTTTCTGTTAATTTACAAAATGTTATGTCTATAATAAGTCTTTCTGAAGTAAATTGAACCCTTTTGTTTGCATTCTCAATTTTACACAATTTGTGTCTCTTTGCTAGGGTTATTTTAGAATTGCAATAACAAATGCACAAGTGGAAAATAATTTATTTAAATAAGATGATCAACAGCAAAGGTCCTGGGATTTTCTAGTCCAGACATCTCACCAGAACTTTAGCACAACCCAATAAAAGAGACTGATCCTAGAAAATCCTTTCCAGGTTTTACAAAGCCCTGGGCTTCCTGGCACTGGACATAGGGAGTCTGGTCTATGCTCCATGAATAATCAAATCTGAGGCAAGTAGCACTTATATCCTGTGCTGACCATCTGTACAAAGATGAATTTTACCCTCAGTGCATATATGATCAAGAAAACTCATATTTATATCTTGCTACGAAGGCCCAGTGTTTTGCTTAAAAAAGTTCCTGCCCACCTGGGATACAACACTATAAAGGATTTGTCTTACAAACATAGACACACACTTTGCCTTCATCTTGTGAAGCTTTTGTACTCTTATTTATTGTTTTATCTTAATGATAATATAGTTACTTTCTGTGAAAGAACAAATTAAAAAGGTAGCTAATAAATATTTATATAAATATATAGAGAGTGTACGTGTATATAATTAATCTTACACACACATATATATATATACACACAATGCTTTGTGATTTTGTTTCTTACATTTGTGGGTTTTTTAAAGTTTATTGATTTATTGCAGTGCACATATACTCTCCTAATATTATATCTGAACAACTTATATACAGTGGTTGTATTTTCTGTGAATATATAAAAATAATGTGATGATTTAATATTGGCCTATTAACCCAGGTTTTTCTAATGGAATGATGTATAATAGTATTTATGAACAAGCCCAACTATTGATATTTCAGATGGACATTCTCATTTTCTAATGTAAAAATCTGAAACAATTTAATGAATTGGACATATTATGGAGAACCTATTTTATTCCTTGAAATAGATGGATTAAACCACTAATTATCTAACATCTTAGCATAGTCATTGCTTCGGAAAAAATTAAATTTAAAAATCTCCTTTGTGTACCATAACAATAGACACACATTCTATATAGGGGTATGCATTAATTTCACTCTTCCATTTGAGATGCAGCCTGAAAGCTATATTTAATTAAAATTCTATGCAGACCAGTCAAATGGAATTGCCAGAGTGCAAACTCTGGGCTGCTGACTGAAGTTTGGAAGATAAGGTTAGCAGAGCATAGTTTACTGCATGGCTGCAGTTAGGAGAATCTTCTGCTACATTTGATTTAAGCAGCCTCCTGATGATTTTTCTTGTCATTAAAAAGTGGCATGTATTCTGTTTTCACTGTGGGACTGAAAGATTACATGAGAGCAATACTTTAATGTTTCATAAAATAGCAAGCTAGACATTTGAACAATTGTGGCTGTGTGCACTGCAGTTACTCTTCATTATTTGTTCCACTGTGTCTGGTGCTGATTGTCAGGGATGAGAAGCAAGCAGTAAACATTTATAAAAGGACAATATTATAAATACAAATTGAAGAGGCTACTTCTCACAACAGTAATTTGGAGTTGGGAAGACGACTAACTTACACTGTGC